TGCGCAGATATCTGTCGAAAGCAGCAACGCTTTTCGCTCAAAATACACAGAAGATTTTTTCTACGATCACATTATTTTAAGTAAAAGATTAAACACTGAAAATTTGTCGTAAGCAGTGTACAATGTGTTGCCTATATCTAAGTTAATAATGAAAAACGGAGTTGATATTCAAAGTCAATGTTAGCTTGGATAATAAAACAAAAAAACATCAAACTACATACAAATATCTTGAAAATAATTTATTAAACAGAAATATTATTATATCACATCTAATTTAAATTAGGCGAGCAAGAAAGCTGTCAAGTTTTCCGCTCGGCTCACTTAATGTCAGTTCGCGAAAAACGTCAACTTTACGGTTGTATTTCGAAGCGCAAAAGCCTACTTTGGATAATGATCGTAGAAAAAGGAATATTACAGTGCGCGTAAATACTTTTCCTGAAAATACTTTTTATACGTTTCTGTCATTTTCTCTGACACTTATTTTGTATTTCTTAATATTTTCCGTTGTTTTATATTATTGAATGTGCTTATTGTTTATATTATGTAGTAGGTTATGGACATATTTTGATTTTGTTTAAATCCGGACACCCACCACTCACAGCGCATGCTTGAGAATTGAATTCTCTCGTTATTTCTGTTTTCTCAACCTAAAAAATGTAGGAATATTTTTTGAGAAAAAAATTTTCTACAGCAACATTCGAATGTTAATGTTGAACCTTGTATAAGAAAAATAGAAATTATCACAGTACTTTTTTGTGTTTTATATGAAACATTTTTATAGTGTCTTTGTATTGGATACCTAAATAAGTAAAACTGTAAGGTATTACCTATATATGACTCCTTATAGACGTAGACTTTCGCCATTTTTATTTTTGGTTTGTACGTATTAACGTTTTAAATAATGATTTTTGCCGTCGCAGTTGAATTTTTTTTTAAATTTTGTGCCAAAAATCATCCAAATATTCAAAAAATAATTATTGGAATAAATTAAACATTTATTTGGTAAAGTTGTAGGAGTCTAATGTACATACCTCTCATGTACACATTTGTCTTCAATTTTCAAGTAAATTGAAAATTAAAGTTAAAAAAGATTTTGTTAATTTAAACAATTTATTTCTTTCCAACAAAATATTGAATTTATTTTTTTGGTTACCTACTACAAAACAATATACATAAATTTGTAGTTCGAATTAACCAAATTATTTGTTTAAATGAAACAAATATTACTTTACAACATTAAAATATGTTTGGATTAACTAACCAACATTTTAAATGAATACATACTTTCTTGACCATATTTAATTATTTGATTTTAGAAAACCATTTTCAGGAGATAGTGTTGTTTCTTAAACGACTCTGAGAAAGAGTAACAAAGCCTACACTACACAGAATATAGTGCTAATGATCTGAGTTGTCAAATGACATCATTAAAAAATCCCAACAATTCTAACTTTACACGTGTTGGGATGAGCCCCCACGTTTTTTCTCAATTTTCAACCACCTGTTAGGATTGGTTTTGCTTCGTTTCAAGCCTCAAGTTATGGTTGAGAACCAGGGACCGTATTGTGGCAGCCCTTTTAATCTAATAAATAAAATTTTAAATAATTAATTTTCATGCACCTTCTATATTTACTGACAAGTAAGTTTTAATGTTTTTTTTTTTTATTTTTTATTCAATGTTTAGGAATATCTCGATTTGACTATTGTTATAGCTCCGTTTTTTTATCTTTGTAGAGTCTCTGATGATGGCCTAACGGCTGAAAGCGCTAAGACTAATTTTACTGAGTTTTATTAATATTAATAAAACTACCTACACACTTTAAATACGTTCCATTCATTTCTTATTACCCAGTGTGTACACACCACTCAACCTCTTCAATTCTAACTTTATTTGACTCTACTACGAAAAATGTCAGCTTCGTTTTCTGGTCAAATAATAAGTTGCTGTTTTAGATTTTGTACAGAGTAGTTTCTCTTTCGCTTGCTATTTATAGACCTATAAGAAACTCTATATGTAGCAGGATGCATTTTGCTTACAGATTGTCTAAAAATCGAACCGTTAGTGTCTGAACGCGACTATATATTTATTGCGTAATTCAATGTACTCAAGTAACCACAAAATGTACATTGATTATACAAGTACGTTTAAAAAAGTACTCTATGATTGGTTACTGTAAACTGAAAACTATTTTTGGGCACTTGTACGCCAGTGCCGCATAGTTCTGCTATTAATCGTAACCCACTGCTCTGTAATATTAACTCGTAGCCCCTCTATTAATCATCATTGTAATTAATTGCTTCTATATATTGGGATAAAAAATCTAATTTGAAAAGTTATTTCCGGTACGAATTACCAGTTTTTTGTTATAAATTCATTATCAAACCATCTGCGAACAAAAAAATTTAAATAGACGGATAGATATTTACATTAAATCATTCCTTTATAGTTTCCTTAACAAAAAGCCATAATTAATCAGGCAAGTTGCAGCCAGGCCACTCTCTTGTTTGTAATGTATAATTGGGGACTGATTAACACCTTTTGGCCCACAAACACCTGCAATGGCTTATCATTCCAGTATCGAACAGCTTTTATTGCCCATTTAAAATTTATTAGGCAGTTTGTTTGATAGATTATTTTCAGATAAAGTGATAAGGAAAATTTAAGGTTTTACCCTATTTTAAATACATCTTTTGTTTTCAATTTGGAATGTTATTCGTTAAACAAAATACCTGTGAGTATACAGGGTTCGGAAAAAGTAATGCAACTTCGCCATATGTTTCTAAGTATTGGTTTTAGAAGAAAATATTTTGTTCAGGCGCAATAATATTACGATAGTTGAGTTTTTTGAATACCTTCTGCTGTTTTCTGATAGGTTACGAAACAATATTTTCAAGAAAAATTCATTTGAAGAACAAGAATCTACTTATTCGACCATTCACTGTTAACCTGACGTATAAAAATATATCATCAGTTCTACGCAAACCCTTTTTAAAATGAATAATATTTCCATTAACTGTTTTATGAGGTGATGCACAAAAATCCAATAAATTCAAATGTGGAGAGCGTGCGGGCCACTTCACTGACTCCCCCCTTTTTCTTAACATATTTTTTAAAACCGTTGTTGAATAGTTATTTAACAATTTATAGAGATAAAATAAGTTTAAAGTTGAAGGTGGTAGCCATGTGTGAGTCATATGTTCAAAAAAAGGAGGTAAATAAATCTTATCTTATCTATTCCCTATTTTTACTCTGTCTCCATTTCCATTTTCATTTTTCAGCACATTACTTCAAAAAACAACTAACCAAATCAATAGTTTTCTCTTTTTTTCGTTTTCTCTTTCTTTCTTTCTTTCCTTTAATACCACTTTCCTTCCTTTTTCCGTTGATATGTTACCAACTTCTTAATTTGAACATTAAGTACATCTAAAAATTATTTTCCGACGCTAATGCTAGACTCTACGTGTAACAATAATAATTAATTTATTTCATTTTGTTTATTATTACATACAAATTTAAATAATTCATTTTAAAACCTATATTATTAATTAAGAAACATCTATTAGCCGATGTTAAAATATTTAAATCTGACAACCTCTAAACTGTTTTTCTTAAATATTAGAATTGTTAATTCGTCTATTTATATCTAGAGGGCGTTAATTAGTATCTTTAATCTAAAATAAAAAATTATACCTTCAGAATTATAAACACTTCATGTTGTCTAAGAGCCCATTTTAGTTCTTGTAGGGTTTAAAAAAGTTTTAAATTTGTTTTGTCTTAATGTCTGTCCGTTCGTGAAATATTTTAATAATTTTAATTAATAGTTTTAGACCTACTTGTGTTTTGACATCAACTTTTTGTTGCAACTACTGTTTCTATGCATTTCTTAAAAAATACTCGCATACTTGTTTTTTACACCGACCCTGTGATAATCTCTAAGCTTAGTCTTAAATAGATGAGTAATACGGGTGAGTTCTTGATATTTGACAACTTTCATAATTTTTTAAACCCACTTTATTAGTTATGAGCTCATTCGTTTTTACCTTTTACCTATCTATTTTAGACCATACCTGATGATGAGGATCTGATCTCCTCGAAACCGGTCGTATTAAATTACTCTTGTGAGATCTTAAGGACCACCCTTGTTCTATTTACCTCTTTTTTGATAAAATAAGTTGTTTACCGATGAGTTACATACAACATTTTGTTATATTTTGTGTTATATATTACAATTACCTTACAATTACTTGATATACTTTATTTCTGTAACTGTTTATTTTTTCTATATTTCTGCTTGAAATTTTATGAAATCATAAACTTGATTGATTCCACATGAAAAAATACAGAACTCACCCCAATAAGTCACATATGCGCCACCTATGTGCCACCTACCTCAACAAAATAGAAATAACCCCTATTATTTGTCGTACATCATTGGAAAGGTATTAAAAAAGGATTTTCAACAATATAAATTATACCCCATGCAGGGTAGTTCAATAGTACATAATAATTAAAACCTCTTTAAAAAAAGATGTCACGTTTGGCATTTGAGTTAAATATTTTTAAACATTCTAGTCCAGGAGTATATATTTAACAGTAGTGCATAAGTGCTGTAGAGCTGCAGAAAAGCAGAACTACCAAAAAATGCAAGTATCTCAGCTACATTTCACAGAAATTTTACACATTCTAAAATATACGTAAAATAGAGTTTATGGATAATCTCATTAATTTTAATTTGATTTTAGTAAATAGTGTGTGTGTACTGCACCGTTTGGGCCGCTGCCCACTCATCGTCTCCTTTAGTTGTTCTCGTAGTCTTGATAGGCATATGCCTGTCAAAAAGATTAATTAACAAGTTTGTGAACAGCGAAACTTTCTTGTCAACACTATTTTTATGAAAAATACAATGCAAATTTCAAGGATGTTTATCTGGACACTCTACAGCACCTTTTTTGCTAATAAATACATTGAATAACAATTTTTAAAGGTAATATTAACTTACCAAGCGTTTGCAGCCATTCCGAAATAGTACAAGAGTAGGAACACGAAAGCACAATTAATGTTGGATAGACCATCTTCAGGAGCTTTTGGACACGAAGTCGACATCCTGCCAGCGAACATTCTTAACGCCCAACCAGCGCTCATCATGACGTAACATAAGGCCAAACTGAGTAGAGGGCGAGCTTTTACACGACCGCCTCCGATGGTTAAGGTTAATGATGCTCCAAGGCTGATTATAAGGCAGATGAAGGCCCAAACAGTAGCCCAAACCTGGAATAAAGAATCATATAGTAAAACTTCGGTGTATAAAAGTATTAAAGTTTTATATAAAATATAACATTAACTTTGATTTCAATTTTGTTTTCATATCGAACATATGTATTTTTTATAAGGAATGGAAAAAAAATTAGAAACTCCTAATTTCCTAGAAATCGAGTTCTCAGAAGTATACAAAATTCGGGATGTGTTGGTTTAAAAACATGCTAATTTATTTATTTGTATTGTTGCCAGATTGACCGATTTTCCAATAATATTGGTCAAGTTGGTTTTCAAAATAGTACAACACCCTGTATATTGTTTAATTTTTATTCTACTGTTCAATCTCAGTTCAACGATATATAATATTCGAGATTTTCTTATTTTATGTTGTTTTTAAAAAACTAAAGTTACCAATATTGTTTGAAAAATGGCCAATCTGACAAAAGAAGTGGAATCGGTATAATCTTAAATCCCAAATGAACTATAACAGTCAAATGTTTTATTAGTCCATTTTAACCTTTACTACTTATAACGTACCTACCTTAGCAAAATTTTCATATACCTACTTTTATTTTTCTATTAATCCCATCTCTGTGTACATGAAGAATGAAACTGAAAAATAATTAGGAGGCTTTTTCTTATTTTAACTGTTATGGGCAATATTATACCGTCCTGTATCCTTTATTTACGACAGCAACATACTTAATTATTGTACATCTCCTGTTATCTCTAATATCTATTAATTCTTATATATTTCTGAGTCCAGTAATTACTGACTCGAGTTAAATTTATACCTGCTATAAGGTCTACAAAAGCAATTCTGAAAAAGTTTATGGAGACCTGTATAGTATAATGTTCCATAAACTTTCATTTAATCTGAATCTGAATATGAAGTCAAAGTTTATTAAACACTATACTAGTATGTCATTTCCATAAAAAATATTTTTTCTTCTCTTAAAATTGCCATACTTGTTAGAATTTTTCTCATGATTATATATTTTGTTTCGTTATATGCAAGAGTACGTTTTTATTACTCATTAATATTTGAAACTAAAAACTTATTTTACAAAGTTTGTAATGAATAAAGAGCCATTTTTTTGTACTATGGAGTCATACAATCAATATGAAAAGTTAAGAAACCAACCTCAAAAATTTTATTTTGAAAGAAGCTACTCAAAATATAATATATGCACTCTTTCCTTGGAACATCTGGCTATTGATTATGTGATATAGAAAGGAACGATCAACATAATGAGTTTTTATCATAGAAATAATATAGAAGACCAATATAAACATAACATTTAAGCAGAAATTGAAACCTACTGTGCATAAAAACGCGTCTCTGCGCCTGACATCGCAAAATAGTGTGTCTAGAAGCTTGCGCAATAAGCATGACTTGTCCCTGTAGTGTTGCCAAATATATTAAACATACCTAACAGAAAAGAATTTTAAATTAATTAATTTTTAAATTATATGATTTAAACAGTTTATATCTACGAAATATCGCCACAAAATAACTTATAAACATTTAAATAATCAACTAATAATATTTATGTGTAATTACATTCCCAAAAATATATACAAATACCGTATTAATGTTATTAATACCGTATTTTTAATGTTCAATAAGCGATTCACCTACAAATTCAATATTGACCTGGCAATAGCACTAAAATCCGGTGTTTCAAGGCTATATGACGCTGCCCTTACAGGACCGTTTGTAGTTTATTATTTATGCCGCGTTTGAGAATCCACATCGGATGCATCTGACATTTAGTAAGTAGTAAATCTTTGATCACGTGATTCAGTATACGTAAATGTAATGGGACAGATGTGTCCGATGTGGATAAAAAACGCTCGAGATGTAAAAAATGCATCCGATGTGGATTCTCAAACGCGGCATTAATTACACGATGAAAGTGGCATTTTATTTTTAGTTTTGTGTAGTGTTTAGTCAAATCCTAGGTACAATAAAAGACATTTTTACATTGGCTAATGAAAATGTAATCAATGTATTAGGCAGCTGTTATATTTATTACAAGATTTATGTCTGCAAATCTAAACCTACCTAAGAATTATAATTATGTAAATAGAGATCTGTATATTTATATACAGGCTGCCCAGCGACGGGGAGACATTATCGATATCGGTTTTAAGGCATTTTAAAACATAAACCCGATCTCAACAATCTTAGGAACTCTTCTGTCACTCGATATTTTAATCGGTACTTCCTCTTCGTTTTTTGGCTGGCACAACAATTATTTACATTTCTTCATTCTTTACGGCGTTCGAACCAGTAAGGTTTAAAGAAATTAAAAAAAAAACCTACTTTAAAAATAAAGATGTTAATGATTTTCTTATGGATCCCATCTTCAGATCTTGACTTAATGTATATAAAACTGTTTCCTTTTCTAACAAAAAGAATCCTAGAAATCGGGCAACGTGGTAAAGAATTATCGCTCAACATACATAAAAAAATATTTCAACGAATTGAGAATATCCTACCATTTTGAAGTATGTTAAAAAAAATTATTAATAAATTGAAAAGTAGGGCATGAACATATATTATAAAGTATATAAAATGATAGATAAATCCAGTTTAGAAGGTATTATAAATAAACTGGAAATATCGAGAATCTCGATTTTGAATCGGAAAAATATTCTACGCAATTTAGTATGAAAGCTGATCAAAATGAAACACATGAACAACAAACTGTTATTGACAACTTTCTTCAAACGTTTTCTATTTTCCGAAAACTAACTAGATAGTTCGAAAATCATTTCCTTCGTTAAAACGCCTCTTGTTCCGAAAAAGGTACACGCCTGTCAACATTCATCGTTCATTAAAAAAGTGGTAGATACAAAACGCTTCGTATTGTAAGGCCAAAATATATTTAGAAATCGAAATATTCATATAAACAAAAAAATCATATAAGTGAGATAACTACCAAATTAATGATTTACAAGTTTATTCCTATTATTTATAAAATAGGTTTGCAATGTGCTGGTGTGGAATGTTATCATCGACTAAAAACTTTAAATCTTTGTATTAAATTGATCGAAAACAAACTATAAATTGGTTTAAGGCTATACAATAGAATGTTTCTAGTAAGCAGCAACTAATTTTTATTATGGAACCGAAAGACCCTTTTAAAAGGGTTCAAAATTAAAATAAAATATGTACCAAGTAAATGTAGTAGTATTTTTTAATTTTTTAATTTATATTGAGAATGGTAACATGAAAGGTTTTCTGTCTAACGACTCATAGTCTCGGCTGACAAAATGTAAAAAAATATCGAACATAATATTCCTGGGCCCTATTTTGCACTCCCCAGATTAAATTTAGTTGTAGCAAATGATATTATCAAATAAGATGTCAAATCACAAGCAAAATCTCGTGACTACAGTACTAATGATTGCCTGTTTGGAAAAGTATCTTTGTTTGTAAATATTTATATGCATAGTTATATTTAAATGCGCGAGTGTAATGTTAAGTATAAACAAAATCCGCCCATTATGTATATACGTTTAGTTACCGACCCTAGTAGATAGGCAATTTGTTATTGTTTTAAGTTTTACCGTAGGGAGAGAGAAAATCAATATTAGGATAAATGGTCCAGCTCCTTTCTGGTTACGTAGGTACCTAAAAAGTATTTTAGTTTTTAAGTAATTAATTATTGTAACAGTGATTTTTTTGTGATAGTACCTAATTTAGATTGTGGATTAAAGTTTTTGTATATAATTTCGCTGTTTAATAATAAACGTAGTTAAAACCGGAGCACGTGGTTTTTCTGGAAAGTATTTTTAAAATCACAAGCAAAATCTCATGCCTACTGTACTAATGATTGCCGAAAATTAACTAATTCATATTTTATGCCTTATCTTTCTTAATAAGGACTGTCAGAACCATATTTACCTTAACTTGAAATTTTTTTAATCGTTTTTTGTATAGAATCATCTCTAAAAATGTATGATTGAAATATCGTGCGAACTATTTGTTCGATCAATAAAAAACTTGCACCGGTCCTGTTCGCGCCAGCACTGTTATACGCATGAGCTCCGACACACTATTTTCTCCTTATGGTTTCATTTTTGATATATGGAATCGGCTTTCTATACTATTTCTATGGTTTTTATCCAATGAATCGTTTAAATGTCATTAACATAAAAAACAAGCTGAATTCTATTAAATTAGAGGTTGGAAATTGGAGATAGGGATGAAGCAAAATTCAAGTACCTAGATATAGTTAATAGGACATTTTTTTGTAGAAAATGCGATTTCATATCGAAATAGTACCTTTTTTTATTTTAAAAATATAAAAAAAATTAAAAAAGTAATATATCCAAGTTTTTGTTTTATTTTATGTTTTTCTTTTTTTGCGTTTTCTGAGCAGATATATGTAAAGGCATTTCTTATAAAAAAGAAGCTTACATTTCCTTTAAAATGGCGTGTTACAAAAGTTCCTTTGGATAAAAACGGACCGAGATATACCCGCTTAAACTTATCTATTTTTGTTTCGTTTTTTATCGCGTTTGCCTTAATTCGTTTTAGTTCTTATTTTTTACAACAAAAGTTATTTTTTATTAAAAATATTGTATTTAAAGTTAATTTATTAATAAAAATTTAATATTTTTGCGAATATGTAAAACTATTTTCGATTTATTTATTATTCTTAAAAATTGTTTTTTACGATATAAAATATAATTGTCTTTTTTTGCAATAAAAGTTATCAATTTATACTAATTATTATTATTAATTATTTTCATTGTTCATTATTTTCATATCTCTTCAACAATGTTATCAAACTGGATATCGATTTCTTTGTCTAGGTCTTCAAACACATTGTCTCCTCTACATTTTCACAATTGTCGTCCATACATTGTTTGCAAAATATTGAACAAGTGATCCCTAACTTCCTACAACCACAGCTTCTGTGGCAACCTGTGGTACATCCACTTTTTTAAACAAAATCTCCGACACAGGTGATTAATTTGTGCAAGAGGGTTTAAAT